GGACTGGTTGACAGAGTCGTATGTCTGCCCGAAGTTGCCTTCCACTGGGATGCGACTGCGGCACCAAATTTCCATGGCTGCTGGGCGGCCGGGCCAGGTCAGGGGCTGCCTCCCGTGCCCAGCCTCCAGGCTTCCCTTCCGGTGATCCTCTCCATCCCGCTTTCTGCCTCCCTGCCCACGGCTTCCTCCCACCTGGGGTCTATTTCCTCTCTGCTCTCCTTGAATTCTTTTTCCCAGGAGCAAGGTCTGATGGCCCCCTTTTTTCCCCGTCTATAACCAAACCAACTATTAACAAAGTTAGTCCATATTCATAAAGCAACTGCTCCGTTCGCCAGCTCTGTTACCTTCTTCACAGTGTTATCGCCTTAAACCAGCGGTTCTCGACCTATGGGTCGCGACCCCTTTGGCGGTCGAACGACCCTTTCACAGGGGTCGCCTAAGACCATCCTGCATATCAGATATTGACATGACGATTCATCACAGTAGCAACATTACAGTTATGAAGTAGCAACGAAAATAATTGTATGGTTGGGTCACCACATGAGGAACGGTATTTAAAGGGCCAGAAGGTTGAGAACCACTGCCTTAAACCCTCAAAAACCCTGGACGGGAGAAGCACTGTTATGATGCCCATCTTTCAGCTGAAAAGACAGCGCAGAGCGTGGCTGTAACTTACCCTGGGGAGGGGAAGGGCTGCTCTGAGGGGGCGGTGCCCTCGGAGCCTAAAGCCACCCGCCTCACAGCTTCCTGCCCCACACCTACCCAACGCACCCCAAGGACTCAGCCCCGTACCCTGGTACTCCCCACCCTCCTGCCCCTGTGCTGACCCTTGGCAATGCCACAGAAGAACTTGAACTTCATGGGCAGGCAGAGCAGGTGGTTGAGGAGCGGGACCCGGATGCGTTGCATGCACTGTTCGTGCTTTTTGTCAAACCAGCGGCGGCAGCTGAGTATGGCCTTGTTCACCACATCTGTGGGCAGGGGCAAGGGCCGTCTGAGACCCCCACACCCTGAGCTGGAGCCCCGGCCCCATGGCCTGCCCCACCTGGGGACACCCCTCACAGGAGCAACGAAGCTTGGTCTTCAGCTCGTACATCTTCTGTGTGGAGAGGTGGGGTCCGAAGGCCATGGCTCGGCGGGTCCTCACCCCTCGGGCTGTCTCTTCCAAGCCCATGGCATCCTCGGGTGTGTAGCCAGTCTCACTGTTCACCTGCGCGTCCAGGTCCCCGAAGGAGTTGGAGATGTTCTGAGTCTCGGCTCTCAGTGACTTTTTGCTGCCCTGGGGGTACGAGGGTTGGAAAGGGTCAGAGACAGGGGCTTAGAGCTTCTGCTGCCCAACAGCCTCCCCTCCCCCCATTCGCCAAGCTTTGGGCTCTTACCGCAGGCCTGTGGGAGCCTAGGCCCTGAGGTAGATTCACACCTTAACTTCTCCACTGGTTACAGTCCCCGGAGCCCTCTCCTCTCCCCAGATGCCTCTGCCTTGCTCACCTCCCAGGCTCCCAGCTCCTCCTCAGGCCTCCCATCCCAGGTCCTTGCTAGTCAGGGAAGGGCTCCCCAGGTCCTTGGACTTCACCCCACATCACCCATCTCTCAGCCCTATGCTGTCTCAATGTCCCAACCCCTATCTCCCCAGCTCAACCCTTATCTCCCCAGCTCAACGCTCCAATCCCCCCAAACCCCAGTCTCCAGAACCCAATGCTCTATCCCCTGGTCTTCAAAGCTTCCAAATCCTCACGGCCAAGGCCCCCAACGCCCTGACATTCTAGTTCAGCTGCCCAACCAACCTCCCACTTCGGCGTTTGGAAATGTGTGGGGGGCAAGGCATGTCCCCATGATGGGGGCGGGGGCTCTGCTGGCATCTCGTGCCCAGGGACCAGGGCACATCCTGCAATGTTTGGGGACAGTCCTGGAAAAAACAATGCCAGCAGCACCCCCATGGGGAAAGTGCAAATCCAGGGTCACCGCTCCCAGCTCAAGTCACCTAGGCCCCTGGAAATAGGGGCCCCTCGGCCCTGCCCATGAGGGGTCCTGACCAGCAGGTCCTTGAACACCGCACGCAGCGGGGCAGTGGACACGCGCCAGGCCGCGCGGGTGTTGTTGATCTGCAGCTCCACCGTGCAGCCCAGCGAGGCGACCACCTCGTTCAGGTTGTATCGCAGGTTGGCCACCGGTCCTGGGGGAAGAAGCCCTGCTGAGTCACTCCCTCTAGCAGCGGTTCTCAACCTGTGGGTCGCGACCCCTTCGGCGGTCGAACGACCCTTTCACAGGGGTCGCCTAAGACCATCCTGCATATCAGATATTGACATGACGATTCATCACAGTAGCAATATGACAGTTATGAAGTAGCAACGAAAATAATGTTATGGTTGGGGGTCACCACATGAGGAACTGGATTGAAAGGGCCAGAAGGTGGAGAACCGCTGCTCTGGAGCTAAGTAACTTTCTTAAGCCCCCCCTCGCTCCCTCTCTGCATGCAGTGACCACCTTCCAGGACTGAATCTGACGGGGCCCCCCAGCCCTGAGAGGCCCTCTCACTCCGCCCTGGCTTTTTCACCTGTGTCAGCCAAGGAGCCCCGAGATGGGAGGAACGCTCTCAGGGACACGCGGCACATTGCCGCAGCTGGGATTCGGTTCCCACCCTTTCTCCTCCGCCAGGCCTGGCTCCCATGGGGTGTCCCACCCAGGTCACCGCTTCAGCAGCACTAACTGGTACCCAGGGGCACACTCACCCTCATAGATGGCGGCCAAGGCGTAGCCCAACGCAAAGAGCCTGCCCTCTTTGCCCAGCATTTTGGGTATTAGCAGGAGGCTGGCACAACGGATATGAGGGGAGGTCCCCCAGCCCACGGCTCCGGAGCCTGTCAGGAGAGCCCAGGAGGTGGTAAGGCAGAGCGAGGAAGCTGGTTAGGCTACCAGGTTTACCAGAGCACACCCCCCCCTCCCCCCAGCTTCCTTCTAGAACACCACCAACCCGCTGTTGTCCCCATTTACACGGACTCAGATAGGCCTTCCCGGCCACTCATTACTTCACTTATCCCACAGCCATTTACAGAGCTCAGCTGAGTGCCCGTCCCTGGAGGGCTGGGAGAGACGGAAAAGCCATAGCTGGTGATCGACTTCGTGTGTGTACACGAGTGAGTGTCTGTGTTAGGGAAGGGGCCACTAGTTCCTATTTCCAGGTTGTGTTCTCTCTTACCCTAGGTCCCTAATTGAGCCCTTAAGCATGGACCTCCTGGTATGTTTCAGCAGTTTCCCATGTGTCTCCCTGTGGTCTATGAAAGGAGACAGTGAGTTCCTTGAAGCTCATAATCCAGGGAGAGAGACAGACGAGTAAACAGATGACTACAGTGCGACGTGCTTAGCGCTCAGGGAGGCGCTTATAAAGACCCGTGGGAGCCAAGGAGGGAGTGGGCGCTTCTGCAGGGAGGGGTGGGGCCGAGAAGCTGGACAAAGGAGGTGATGTGTCAGCTGGGCCTGGAAGATGAGTAACTGTTGTTAGAAGGCACAGACGGCATTCCAGGCCACAGGAACAGCACGAGCTGGTCAGGGGACCTAGGAGATTCCTGTGTGGATAGAGTGTTCATCCCAGGGTCGCCAAAGCAAATCCCGAGCCTACGCCTCACTCCCTTCCCACTGCCCCCATAGAGTCCCCGTCATCTCTCGCTGGGACTAACTGGCCTCCTGCTTCCTCTCTTGCTAAGCTACACTTCGATTTCACAAGGCAGCCAGAGTGATCTCGTAAAAACATAAATCAGATCGCGTCCCCTTTCTGCTTCAAACCGCCCAGTGACTTTCTACCACACTTGGAATCAAATCCAAATCCCTCAACAGGGTCTACAGACTCGTGATCTGGCCTCTGCCTCCCTCCCGACGTGATTTCATGCTACTCAGCCCTTCACCCACCATGTCCACCCTCACAGGCCTCGCTGCTGTTTCTAGAACACGCCCAGCTCATCCCTGCTCTCTGGTCTTTGCCCTGGCTGTTCTCCCAGCCAGGAGCACCCCTCCCCCTGGTCTTCACCTGTCTGGCACCGCCTAGTCATACAGGTTTGCTGCAAACCCTATCGGGTGCCACCCCACAGTTTGTTCTGCTTTCTTTCTTGCTAATATAACTTGAGTTTTGTTCTACGGCCTGTCCATGCCCTGACCCCTGGGAGCGAGTCTGGGTTTGTCTAATCCAATTGTGGTAAAACAGAACGTTGAAGGGGCTTTTCCTGTGGTCTTGGCCTTTTGACCAAAGACTCAAGCTGAGGACGATAGTTGGTAGAGTTGCCCTACATTCTAAAGAGAGCCCCATGGCCTGGCCGGCGTGGCTCAGTGGTTGAGCGCCGACCTATGAACCAGGAGGTCAACAGTTCGATTCCTGGTCAGGGCACATGCCTGGGTTGTGGGCTCGATCCCCAATGTGGGCCTGCAGGAGGCAGCCAATGATTCTCTCTCACCATTGATGTTTCTATCTCTCTCTCCCTCTCCCTTCCTCTCTGAAATCAATAATAAATACTTAAAAAAGAGAGAGAGCCCGATGGAGGTGCCAACCCCAAAGCTAGCCTCTCACCCCTCCACCCCAACCAGCCTGTATAAAGACAAGACCAGAAATGCGCATTTTCTGGAAGTGGAGAGAAACGGTTGGAGTAGGCAGACATTGGAGGCGAGTCTGTGAAGAGAATGGGCATTCACTTCCCCATGTTGAGTGAGAGGCTCCAAGAGAACCCTGTAGAGACTGGTGCTTCGAGAAGGGGAACCTGGTCATCTGTCCGGGGCTAGCCTCCTGCTGAGCTGCAGAACCCGGGCTGCCCAGGGCCCAGAGCCCAGGGAGCGTTCATGGAGTGAGAGGGGCACGCGCTCCATGGCAGGAGAGAGCCGCTGCAGGGAGCCCTACTTTCCCAGTCTGGCAGGGCTCGCAGTGGGCATTTCCTCTGGGACATGAGGCCGTGCTGGGAGGGAGCAGGCCGCCAGCCACCTGTGGGGCTCCCCATCCGAAAGGGCGCCTGCCTGTGGGAGGCATCATCACAAGCGAGGCTGTGGGCCGCCCGCGGGAGCTGTGGGCAGCTTCACCAGAGGTCAGCCAAGTGGAACTGCCCTCAGCAGTGACCTGGGCTCTGCAAGGGCCACTCAGAGCCTCCAAGGAGACAATCAACGTGAGGGCCTGTCACACAGAGGAATTATAACAGTCCCGGCGACTCCAGACTTTTGTCCCTTTTCCTCTAAGGCAGCGGTTCTCAACCTGTGGGTCGCCAACCTGTGGGTTGCGACCCCTTTGGGGGTCGAACGACCCTTTCACAGGGGTCGCCTGAGACCATCGGAAAACACATATATAATTACATATTGTTTTTGTGATTGATCACTATGCTTTCATTATGTTCAATTTGTAACAATGAAAATACATCCTGCATATCAGACATTTACATGACGATTCATAACAGTAGCAACATTACAGTTTGAAGTAGCAACGAAAATAATTTTATGGTCGGGGGTCACCACAACATGAGGAACTGTATTAAAGGGTCGCGGCATGAGGAAGGTTGAGAACCACTGTAATCCCTTTCTGACATCAGAACAACCAGAGGGGAAGAAAGCGGAGAAAAAAGTCAAGGGTTGGCCGTGCCCCCTTCTCCACTACAGGACCCCCACCAGGGGTCAGGCCTGAGCTGAGCAGGCAGGGTGGGAAGGAGGGAGCAGGCTGGAGCAGGAACTGAGATCGAAATGTTGATATAGTGGACTGAATGGGTCTCTTAAAAATAGTCATAATTACTGAAGCAGGACTAGGGCTTCTACACGAAAGTAGGCAGAAAGCGAAGGGTCTCCGTGAAAGGTCGTCAGCGACAGAACGGGTTTGAATGCAGTGATGAGAGAAAAAGCAGCTTCCTGTTGGTGTCCCATAGAGAGGCGTTCATTCAGCAAACTGGCTGGGATGCCAGTTCCGTGCTCCTCGCCTGGGACAGGTTTAGAGAGGGCCTGTGCTGCTCAGTGCTGACCAATGAGAAGTGAGGGGAGCTGGCTGGGGGGTTACAGGAAAGTTCTCCTTGTTCTTAGGGGCATGTACCTCTGTTGCAAGCTTGATCCCCAGCCCCTGGTTGGAGCACATGTGAGAGGCAACCAACTGATGTGTCTCTCTCACATCAATGTTTCTCTCTCTCTCCCTCTCTCTCTCACATCCATGTTTCTCTCTCTCTCCCTCTCTCTCTCTCACATCAATGTCTCTCCCCCCCCCCCTTTTCTTCCACTCTCTCTACAAATCAATGGAAAAATATCCTTGAGTGAGGATTAAAAAAAAAGAGAGATATGAAAGGAATCTGGGTCTTTGGTGGGTTTACTAAGCTGCTGAATTATACAAACTCCAAATTCCACTCTAACTTGAAACTTATTATGTATATATGTAAAAGGCTAATATGCAAAGTGTCCCCTCGGGAGTTTGACCAGAGACCAGGAGTTTGATTGCTCGCTGACCACCAGGGGGTGGTGCGGAACAAAGGAAGGCCCTGGTCCACAGCCGGCAGCCGGGAAGGAAGGCCCCAGCCGGCAGCTGGAAGGCCCCAATCGGCCCTGATGCTGGCCAGGCCTAGGGACCCTACCCATGCACAAATTTCGTGCACCGGGCCTCTAGTATGAGGTAATAAACTTTCTTTATGGTTAAACCACTTTTAGGTGGGCTTTCTGTTCTCACAGCCCAACAGCTCCTGATATTACAATGTCACCTTCTCTGAGAAACCTTCCCTGACTACTCAAGCTAGGGCAGCTCCCCAGCCCCTTTCCATCATATTCCCCTGGTTAACTTTTTTTTTTTAAAAAAAATATGCGTTTTAAAATTGATTTTAGAGAGAGGGAGGGAAAGAGATAGAGAGAGAGAAACATCAATGAGAGAGAAACATTGATCTGCTGCCTCCTGCACACCCCCTACTGGGGATGGAATCCAACCGGTGACCTCTTTTCATGGGTCAACACTCACCCATCGAGCCACACCTGGGCCTGGCGAACTGTTTTTCATACCACTTGTCACTATCAGAAATGCTCTTGCTTATTTCTTGTCCATTTAATGCCTAACTCTCTCCACCAGAATGTAAACTCTGAAAAAGCTGCTTGCCAACCTTGTTCATTGCTGAACTCTCAGCAGGTGCACAGTTAGTGCGGAATGAATGACCTGAACTTATCCAGAGGAGCAAGACACAAGGCCAGAGAGGTGAGGAGAGATGGGGCTTAGGAAGGGCCGTGGGGTTGGGACTGTAGCATGAGGGTCATGGGGAGTCCTTCCGATTGGGGAGACCCCTAAAGGGAAAGGACTGTGTCTCCTACAGACTGGGGCCTCCTCCCTCTGGGTCTCCCCTCAAGGCCAAGGCAAGGCTGAGGCCACAGCCTTTGGGTACAGAGGAAACAAGCTCAGACTCCTTCCTGGGGACCCCGGACGGGGCCGTATTCCCCAGGCCTCTTGGGTGCCCTGCCCTTGCCCCCCACTAACCCGCCAGGCCGTACAGGATCATCATCTTTTGTTCTTCATAGATGTTCATAGGGCTCACCAGGAGCTGAAAGAGACCTGAGGGGACAGAGTCAAAACCAAGATCAAAAGATGGGCCCCACCCCTCCCCTCTGCTCCACACTCACCTATGGCCAGGAGCCCCCCAGTGCCTGCCCCCAGCAGGACAGCGGTGACCGGAAACTCGCCGGGCTGGCGCCACAGGAATCGGCTACAGCAGGTGGGCAGTGCCCAGCTCAGGAGCCTCTGCACCGCTGAGGGGCCAAAGCGTTGAGCCCATCAGAGCCAACACCTGGCTCTTCTGACCAGGATGCGGTTCATTAGGGTGAGGGCTTGCAGGGGGCTGGAGGCCGGGGGAGCCTGGAGGAGGGTGGCAGGGACTGGAGGGGTCCTGAAGGAAGTGGGGCAGACATGAGGGGAAAAAAAAAAGAAGGAAGGGCTCACCCGAAGGAGGGACACTGAATGAGAGGGGTAGGGACCCCAAAGCGCAGGGGAGGGGGTCCTGGAGGAGAGACTGGATGAGAGGATTGGGGGCTGGAGGCGCCAGGAGGGGTGGTGCCCGATGACGGACTCACTGGTGTGGGGCTGTCTCCTCCGCTGCCCTTTCGGTCGGTCCTGGTGGACTCCGGTGTCCATGTCGCTCTGGGGAGCCCGCTCTCACTCAGAGGTCTCCTCAAGGATGCTCTGGGTGTGAGGTTCTGCTCCCGTCCCCTCGGCCTCCCCGACACCTGCCTGAGGTCTGTCTCCCAGTCCCCCCTCTGCCCTGAGACGTGGGGATTAGAGACCCCAACACCCACAGTGACAGCCCCGGAACCTCAGAACACGCGAGGAATTCCGTGACTCTCCACGAGCCACAGAACCTGGTGGGCGTCTCCTGGAGACGGCAGACACTGGGGCTCAGCCGCCGCCATGCCCACAGGCCTGCAGGACGCTGTGCGCCGCGCGGGGGCAGAGGAGCCGAGCCTGGCCCGGGCCGTGGTCCGCAGCCTGGGGGGCTTCAGCCTGGGCTTGTCCTTGGCCACGGTCTATGGACTCCTGGAGCTGCTGGTGGAAGGGCAGAGCCCCTGGGGCTGCCTGGTGGGCACGCTGACCTTGGCCGGCTTCCTCGGCCTGGGCATGGCGTTCTCTCGGCAGGTCCGGGTCACCGTCCTCCTGCTGCTGCCCCAGGCCTTCTCCAGTGAGCGTGGCACCCGGTGGGAGGGCAGGGTCTGGGACAGGGGCCGGGCAGGGGGACCTGGGGGGGGTGGTGTGGAGGGAAACACTCTGAAGGCTTCTGGGAGGGATTGGATGTGCTGCCACCTGCAAGGCTGGGGTCCTGCTTCTGATGGAGCTGCCCCCCCCCCCGCCCCCAGAGCAGAGCCGGGCACTGCTGCTGTTGGCTGTCTTTGGGTTGGTGCTGCAAGGGCCTTGTGCCAACACTCTGCGCAACTTCACCCAAGCCAGCGAGGCCGTGGCCTGCGGGGCGGAGCTGGCCCTGAACCAGACGGCTGCGTTGCTGGAGCGAGCGAAGCAGCCCCTTGTCAGTAAGGCCTCCAGCCTCAGCCCTCTGCTGGCACCGCCCCACCGCCCTGCTCCAGGCAGGCCCCTCCTCCGTGCTCTCCGGCTGCTCCACTGCCAAGCAGCTGCTCCCAGACCCAGGCATCCCGGCTCCCCACCTCCCGGGCAGCCCCCCTCCTCTCCCCCCTCCCCCAGGGACAGCGTGGGAAGGAGGAGTCCCCAGAGGAAGAGACTCCACAGTGCCCCTGCCCTGCCCCTCAGGTGCCCTGAACAAGATTAAGGCCATTGCCCAAAAGGCCAAAGAGGTGGCTGACCGGATCCGCAAGTTCTTTCGGTCCATCATGGATGGAGTGAAGCATATAGGTCAGCACGTTAGCATGTCTGTTTCGGGGAGGGGGTGGTGGTGTCACAGTTCGCCCTGTCTCCTCCGCCTCACCCTTGTCCGGAACCCCGTGGGCCCTTCCTGGGTGCCGAGGAGCCCCCAGAGACACACAGCCAGGCCCCTGAGCGCAGGCCTCCCCCGCTCAGCGTGCTCTCCTGGGGTTCCCCAAACCCCTGGAAAGACGCTGCCGGCCTCCGGCCCCGGGAACCAGCCCACGGCTGTCCACAGCCAGGGCCCTGCGCAACGTGTGGTACTGGCTCCTGCATATCGGAGACGTGTGCAACTCAGAGCTGGGCAACCCTTACCTGAAGTGTGCGCGGGTCTTCGATGACGCCAAGGACAGCTGCATGAAGGTCATCCCACACGCCTATCACCTGTGCTACGTGCTCATGCCCTTCAAGCTGGTGCTCTGTGGACTGGCCAGCCGTGAGAGAGCCAGGGGCCCAGGGGCGGGATGGGGGGGGGGTCAGTTGGGAGGGCGGGCCCCGGGGACAGGTAGGGGGTGATGACTGTGGGGCCAATAAGGGTGCTGGCCCTGCATGGGGTGGAGGGAAGATGGTGAGAAACCAGCGTGGGAGGGTGAGGTGATAGGGAGAAGCCAGAAGGTGTTGAGCCAAAGGTTTGGAGGCCAGTAGGACAAGCAAAAGGTCAAGAGGACCCTGTGAGAACCAGGTCCCCGGAGGTCGGCGAGGCCGGCCGCATCTCGCTGCCCTCCTGACACTCGGCCCCTGGCTCTCAGTGGTCCAGGTGTTCTGCATCATCCCCAAGTACATCCAGCCCTTCCTGCGCACGACCATCGGCATCCGTGAGTGACCCCTCCGAGCCCTGCCCTCTGTGGTGCTCCTGGGAGCTCTCCCCCCTCCCTCATCCTAGTGTGGCCATCGCCAGCCTGGGACGCTCCCAGCCCCTGGGTTCGAAGGCGAAGGCGAGAGCAGGAAGGGACCTCAGTGGGTTGCCCGGAGCAATATCTGTGCTGTGCAGATGAGGAAATTGAGGCCCCGCGACGGGGAGGAGCCTCACCAAAGCCTGACTTCCTGTAGAGCACGGCCTGTGGGGGCGTTGTCCCTTCCTCAGTCCACGTGGGTGCAGGCACTGGGGGCCCCTGGGCTGTGCCAGGCCCCTCCCTCCGGTGAGGCTGCGTCTCCCCCTCACTGTCCTCGCTCACCTCTCCCCCGACCTGCGGGCCCCAGCTGTGCAGAAGTTGATTAACCGGGTGCGTCAAGAGTTTGAGTTCAACGTGACAGCCACCCACTACTTCTCCGTGGATCTCGACGCCTCTCGGAGCCTGTCCCAGGTGGCCCTGGACCTCTACGAGGCTGTCAGCATGAAGCTGTACCGCGCCCGCGAGGCCCTGGCCCTGATGGGCTACGCCACGCCGCTGCTGCTTGTGCTTCTCTACCTCCAGTGAGGGGCTGGGGGGGGGCTGCTGGCGCTAGGTGGTCCCCTGGCATTCTGGGAGGCGGGGGTTCCCGTGTGGGGGGTGGTGCCCTGTGGGGGCCAGATCAAGGGTGGGGGGGGGGGT